GTGCAAATGCAAAATATTTTTTAGAGTACTTTATTTAATTTATATGTACCATGTGCCACTCACATTAACCTATAAATGCTCAGAGAACACATTTCCTTTTGAACCCTTGCCACGTAATAAGTGCGACGAAAAAATATTCGGTAACCAGTGTTTCTATGTTTTTAACGATACTCTTTTCGATGGTGTTGGTTAAAAATACCTCCGACAATATTAAAGCATGGAAAGATCGAAAATAAACAAAAAAAACGTGATTTTTGAATTGACTGTTTTCTTAAAAAGTAATTTTTTGTGTCCTTACGATTTTTTATATGCTTAAAACCTATATAGATCATGACCTCAATATCTAAACATGAAATAATCACCCTTGGTCAAGTCGAAATGTCTTTACAAACTGTTTGATCAAACCAAGTTTAATGTAAAGTGGTGGAAGCAATACTTTCTTCTTTCAAACTCGTATTGATGACATTTTTCATTCCGACTTCCAATTGCATTCTAATTTGGACATAGAAATACCGAATAACAATGATTTTGATTTACCATAAGTCCACTGTCTTAACACTTCAACACATAACCGGCATATTTTATCGTAACCCAGTGTTTATCCTGATGACACAACTTCATTCTGAAGTAAGCTTAATAAGCATTTTTTACAAAGTCTGTTATATTCAATCTTTACTTAACTATTATATATTCTCCGCAAATGTAAAAAAATACATTTGAATAGTTTTTACAACTCCGAGAAGCCATAGTTAAAGATAAATGAAACACAATCTTTTATTAATATCATATCTCTCTCAATAATGGCGCGATATAAACTATTTTTTTTTTTCAGGCGGTGTAAATGACTGTTGTGACTTTCAGACTATCTAAAATAAAGTAAAAGACAATATAATGCTCAGTCAGAGAGTATTAAACAAACATAAGGTATAAAATGAATTTTCTGAAAAAACAAATAAATTTACCGATTCAAAGGGTTATATATATTTACATATATTAATCTACATACAAAAAAAATGTGACGTGATACGTTAAAACAAAGTTTCTATTTGCAAAATATAGTCCAACATTTACATGCTTAAGATGAATTTGTACAAAACACTTTTTTATCGCAGACCTGTGAATTCATCTCATGATTTTAAAATTACATTGATGCGTTAATGTGTCATGTAAAATACATGGTCATTAATCAACCATGGTTCAAAGAGGCTTTAATAAGGATTGTTAAAACTCTGTAAAGTGTCACATTTTTTAGCTGAATCGAACAAAATTTCAATCTTCGTGGACGTTTTTGGCATAATTATAGATATGTTATTTTAAAACCAAAAATGTCTGTAAGCATCAACGTTTACATATTATTATTCAAACTTAAATTTTTGGAGCTACTGCCTTGTAAAGAGTCATTTGTTTTCAATAAATCAAGAAAAAAATCGATTTTTTAAGCGCCTCTGGTATAGTTAAAAATTTTCAAAAATTGTTGATAAAATTTCTAAGCTAGAATTCTTGAAAAAGTCGTTGAATGCATCAACCTTTACTCTTTCCGATGGGCGGAGCAGATTTTAATTACCCGCCGTTTTGTTGTATAAACTATAACGGTGATGTCGAATTCCCTCCCGCAGGTAGTTTTGGTTAAAATATAGATAGTCGAATTCCCTCCCGGGTACTAGCCGAGTTCCCTCCCGTTCGTATCAGCTCCGATAATTAAGTTAACGACTACTTACCGATTTTATTTATCGAAAATAAACATATATTTATAGTGCACTTACACAATTAAAGAAAAAATAATTTCAGAAAGGAGACACATATCAGTTATGAAATGTTTATTTA